TTTGAGAGTGATCTACCCACCTGACACCAGGTTTGAGAGTGATCTACCCACCTGACACCAGGTTTGAGAGTGATCTACCCACCAGACACCTGGTTTGAGAATGATCTACCCACCTGACACCAGGTTTGAAAGTGATCTACCCACCTGACACCAGTTTTGAGAGTGATCTACCCACCTGACACCAGGTTTGAGAGTGATCTACCCACCTGACACCAGGTTTGAGAGTGGTGAAACCTGAAACACACCTCTTTATAAGTCTTATGTAATCAATGATTTAACCCTAACCCAGTCTGTTTAAACAATTCTGAAAAGAAAAGTAGTTACAATAAATTTCATAATACTGTTCGTTGATGATATAAAAGTTCATGTGTTTACAATTTAATACATATTGTCTTCTGCTCAGTATAGAAATCCATGGATTCAACACATCCTTCTCGTCCTATCCCAGAATCCTTCATTCCACCAAACGGCATATTGAGGTCTCGTATCAACCAACAGTTAGCCCAAACTGTGCCCACCTACAATGGCAGATAGAGTATTGTAAATTAATAAATAAACTAAAATATATCTTAGGTCAGACCTCAGAAGTGTGGGTTCCTCATAATATTCAGTGTCTGTGTGTTAGTCAATATGTCTGTCCACTCTTCTCTATAGAGATTATATCAGAATTCAGAAATCTAGATTGCAAAAACTGTATTCTCAAACAAAATGCATTATTTTTTTAAATGTGAAGCCCACATAGTAAAGTCCACTTCATAAAGAATATGACAATTTTAGTGGTGATTGTTTTAGTGTATAACAGGTGTTTGATGTGACTTGTAGCTATTAGCCTTCATGGTGAATGATAGAATGGTATCTGCATCTTGTCATACCATGGCCAGACGGTTTTTGCTATAATGCCTGTTTTTGATTAAGATCTTTTCTGTTCATTTTTTGCTTGTTTGATACTGAATAGTTGTCTTTGTTGACAACATACATTGGTTGCTGTTGCCTACCCTCTGGGAGTATGAGGGATATAGAGTGTGGTTGCTGTTGCCTACCCTCTGGGAGAATAAGGGATATAGAGTGTGGATGCTGTTGCCTACCCTCTGAGAGTATGAGGGATAAATAGTGTGGTTGCTGGTGCCTACCCTCTGAGAGTATGAGGGATATATAGTGTGGTTGCTGGTGCCTACCCTCTGAGAGTATGAGGGATATATAGTGTGGTTGCTGTTGCCTACCCTCTGAGAATATGAGAGATGTATAGTGTGGTTGCTGTTGCCTAACCTCTGAGAGTATGAGGGATATATAGTGTGGTTGCTGTTGCCTACCCTCTGAGAGTATGAGGGATATATAGTGTGGTTGCTATTGCCTACCCTCTGAGAGTATGAGGGATATAGAGTGTGGTTGCTGTTGCCTACACTCTGAGAGTATGAGGGATATATAGTGTGGTTGCTGTTGCCTACCCTCTTGGGGTATGAGGGATATATAGTGTGGTTTCTGTTGCCTACCCTCTGAGAGTATGAGGGATATATGGTGTGGTTGCTGTTGCCTACCCTCTGAGAGTATGAGGGATAAATAGTGTGGTTGCTGGTGCCTACCCTCTGAGAGTATGAGGGATATATAGTGTGTTGCTGTTGCCTACCCTCTGGGAATATGAGGGATATATAGTGTGGTTGCTGTTGTCTACCCTCTGGGAGTATGAGGGATATATAGTGTAAGATATAGAGTGTGGTTGCTGTTGCCTACCCTCTGGGATAATGAGGGATATAGAGTGTGGTTGCTGTTGCCTACCCTCTGGGAGTATGAGGGATATATAGTGTGTTTGCTGTTGCCTACCCTCTGGGACAATGAGGGATATATAGTGTGGTTGCTGTTGCCTACCCTCTGGGATAATGAGGGATATAGAGTGTGGTTGCTGTTGCCTACCCTCTGAGAGTATGAGGGATATATAGTGTGGTTGCTGTTGCCTACCCTCTGGGAGTATGAGGGATATAGAGTGTTCAGTGTTCTAGTTTGTTTCCGCCCTACACATGGTTAAATCCCTGTACATGTACTCCAGGTGAAGGGTTCAAGATTGACCTAATGGTAAATTTCCTGGGTCCTGCCCCTCTAACCCCAGGGATCCCACTCCCTCTGTGTTTATGCTAAGTTATGTCTCTTTGGCTCCAGGATGTTCCCAACCAAATTAAGTTAAATTGCTTTACCTGTACCTGAGGAGATTTTCATTAATAACCTACATGTATAGTTCCCCTATTAGGCATTTGGTCACTGTCCAAAGGAGGAGGCAATCTCTAATTTTTCAAAAATGAGTCCCATCAGCCAACAATGAACCAGACCAAATTTATTCAAAATCCCCTTAGCTGTTCTGGATGAGAAGCTTTTATAGATAAAATTGATGATAGACAATACATGCCACACCATTGCATAAGCTCACTTGGCCCTTTTGACAAATGGATCAGGAAGGTACCCTACTTCATATACACAGATACGCCGGATAATGTGTCCTTTAACAGGATAATATAGGGTTGGGTGTTAGATTCGCACCTGAATTCAAGTCTGAAAATGATGAACTAATATTACTACTAAATTCATTTCTGTGAACAGGGATTTTTTTGGAGGAAATGTCTAAGTTAAGTTACCTGTAATTTCCTAGAGACTCTGTGAAGACGAGAGACGTCCTGGGTCCACAATGTAGCTGCAAGGCCATACTGTACATCATTGGCTTTCATAATAGCCTGCAAACAAACAGACATTCACGTCAGATCATAATAGCCTGCAAACAAACAGACAATCATATCAGATCATAATAGCCTGCAAATAAACTGACAATCACGTCAGATCATAAAAGCCTACAAACAAACAGACAATCACATCAGATCATAATAGCCTGCAAACAAACAGACAATCACGTCAGATCATAATAGCCTGCAAACAAACAGACAATCATATCAGATCATAATAGCCTGCAAATAAACTGACAATCACGTCAGATCATAAAAGCCTACAAACAAACAGACAATCACATCAGATCATAATAGCCTGCAAACAAACAGACAATCACGTCAGATCATAACAGCCTGCAAACAAACAGACAATCACGTCAGATCATAATAGCCTGCAAACAAACAGACAATCATATAATATCATAATAGCCAGCAAATAAACTGACAATCACATCAGATCATAATAGCCTGCAAACAAACAGACAATCATATCAGATCATAATAGCCAGCAAATAAACTGACAATCACGTCAGATCATAATAGCCTGCAAACACCAACACACTTTTGTCTTTTATGGAGCAATATCAATTTTTCACCCTCGTTATTTGATACCGGAAGTATTCTTGTATCTTTCTTATTCAAACTGTATCAATTCATTATGTTGGACTGAATATATAACAGTACTTTATATAATTTATATTTAACGAAAAAGAGGTTATTGTATTTGGAGGAATTGGTTATAACTTGAAATGTACTGATTAGTAATGAACAATAACAAGGGCAAGGACAGGTTCACACAACATTCTAGTTTTATGATCAATTTTAACACAAACACTTAAAAGCATCCTCCTTAAACAAAATGTTGACACAACCAAACATAGAAATAAACAACACACCTATTTTGTATACCTTTGTACACTATATGAACTATAGAAAGGGTTAGAAATTAATTTTAGAAAACCACTAATCAGTCGGGCTAGTAGTTTCCAATTTCACTAGTCCATGTACAAATTCAATTAACCTAATATTATTAAGCAATTAAGTAATTTCAAATTTTAACTACTCTATCATCAGGCTAGTGGTTTTTATAACCACTCGACCAGCTGGAGATTTCCCTCGTCTCTGCCAGTTGAGCTATGTTATTGTCAAGCCCTGTCTGTATGTATACCTACCTCTTCTTCTGTATCAAATGGAACTACACAGGTGACGGGACCGAAGATCTCTTCCTTCAGTAGACGGGAGTTCTCCTTCAGGTCTGTTATAACAGTGGGTCTCATGAAATAACCCTTCGAATAAAACAGTTCATTTTTCAATCACATTTATAATAACTAGAACTGTAAGCCAAGGCTAACTAATACCCCCGCTCCTATGTAAAACAGAACTGTAAGCTTTAAGGCTTGCTAATGCAAAGCAACTCTAACCAGTAATGAGTTAATCACTATTTTATATAAAAACAAAAAAATAGAATAACAGAAAAATAAACAAGTATTTCACACAAAGGGGCATAACTCTTTCAAAAAGGGCTGAAATCCCAAATTAAAATACTGGTGCACAAGTACATAAGATACTGATCATTAATGCAAAGTTTCAATGGAATCCACCTGTTCGTTTAAGAGGAGTTGTGCGGACAAGTATTTCGCAAAAAGGGGCATAACTCCATCAAAAAGGGTCGAAATCCCAAATCAAAATGCTGGTGCACATGCAACTACATAAGATACCGATTATTCATGCAAAGTTTCAATGAAATCCACATGTTAATTAAGGAGGAGTTTTCCGGACAAGTTACTGCGGCATCCAGACATCCAGACAGGGTGATTCCAGTATACCCCCCCCCCCCCCTTAACTTCGTTACGGGGGTATAATAATTTGAGGTTCTTATATACCGCTTTATAGGTCGTCTTAAAGCGGTTCACAAATGATTATCCGTGGTTATAGGACCTTTGCTAACAGCCAATATCTTTCTCAACTCCCTCGGGAGCATAGACCAGGTGCTACCATTTCGACGCTCACAGCAAGCATTCAACAATTCTAGCACTGCCCAACAAAGTACTTATTTACACCTGAGTAGACTTGAACAAGCGGAGTAAAGTATCTTGCTCAAGGATACAACACAGTCCCATAACATAACTCGAACCCGAAACCCTTCGGTCACGAGCCCGGCATCCTATCACTAGACTACTGTGCCTCACAACCCTTCGGTCACGAGCCCGGCGTCCTATCACTAGACTACTGTGCCGCCATTCATCTTGATAATCTATCTCTTGTCTTGTGATTATGTTTCAAATGTCTAATATTATTACTGGCAAATCTTACAACCAATCAGGTTATAACCTGAGTAATCAAACTGATTCCCTCATGCTATACGTAGTCTGTTTTTTATCTGGCTATTCTTGTTCCATCATGAAACAAGAAAATGCAGCAAAGCTGCTGGACACCAGATCTTTAGATAAAAATCACTTACTGACAGTCCAATAACCACGAGGGACAGATCATCGCTTAGTTTAACCATACACAGACAAGGGATTTACTCCGATTAGGCACAAGTTGTTACAACTTATCAACACTTCTCCCAATATACATTTTAAATACATTACAATAATGACAGATCATGCACACTTGAATTTATTCTTCGAATACTAATGGCATAATTTAAACGTTCTGAATATTCTGTTCAATCTCAATATCCTCACATGATGCACTATAGTCACTCAATAATTTTCCCAAGGCATGCAAATGTACATATGAATTTTAACTGCATGTTAAAATTCAACAGTTTGGTATTCATTTGAGATGTAACACAACGTTTGATTGGTCAATCAAAATAATTTGCGACAGAATAACCACGATCTACCATCCGCAATTGTTACACCTCAAGTGAATTTCTAGCAATTTGATTGGTTGGGAGAAAATTAAACAAAAATCTCTTTCACCCTCCGAAAATACATTGGTTTTAAGGGGCGCGGGTGCTATTGCCATGAGACAGTGAAAAATATCACATGCGCAAAAAATGTGCGTGCACCGCTTCGTTTCCCCACCGTGATGGTAACAAGAACGTTTGACAGCAACAGCCAATTTCATCAAGCGCCGGTGCGATAGCGATTGTAAACAGCAGACTATCAACAAACAAGATGTCATTATCGAAGTTTGCTGCCGTTTCTGAGCTACAAAGACTTTTGGTGTAACAAAATAGATATGACATTCATTAGTAGGTGACAGAGAATATTGTCAACCCTCAAAAACCCATTGTCACCCTTGGCTTCCCCTCGGGTGACAATGGTTTTCCCTGGTTGACAATATTCACTGTCACCTGCTAATGAATGTCATATTTATATAATATCTCATTTGCATATGAAACCCAGATGGCAAATGATAATGATAATACATGACGTCACGAACAATAGCATAACCTTGAAAGGCAAGGTCATTCTACCTCACTTTGAATATTCCTGATGTCACCAATCCACCACAGAGTGACCCAGAATTTGAATAAAACACTCAAAAAATGTTTTTAAATTACTGGGTTTTTTTTGTGGTTTGGGCTTATATGAGTTAGAATGGGGATAACCCTAATGTATTTTGAAATTTGCAGCAGTATAATCTTGACTATACTGTCACAAATATCTGTTTTACTGGCTCCGCGTCGCATGGTGTCGCCAGTAAAACTCAATTTGTGTTAGTATAATCACGATATACCGCCGCAAATTTCAAAATACAGTAGCCCACCATAATGCTAGTTTTCTGGTTGTTATTACATATTTGTATCAAATGGGTGAAAGACATATCTAGTGTTCAACGGCAAAACCATAAATTTTCTTTTTATAACAATTTTTAAAGAAATGTGAATCAAATATTGCTACATAAGAAAAGTGCGGGAAAAGAAACTACAAACAGAACACAATACATCTCCGGAACACACGCAGGCATACACACATAGGGAGATATTAGCACAGCATATCTCTTTCCAAAGGCATTTGAAGATTTTATTCAATTCAAACAAAGCCTTTGTCTTTTAAAGAGCTTACCTATCAGAGTGCAGCATGCGGCATAACTTTGCACTGATTTTGCTTAACTTTGCACTTTGCCTTAGTCTTTATTTTTTGTACACGCTCATCAAAATCTATCAAATCAAAACAGTTACATAATTATATCAATTTTTGAGCAATGCACTGTGCAGGTACAGAAGTGTGGATGGAGGAACAGATTCTCCCCATACAATAACACACACTTGTTCTGTCTGTAACACATTCTCCCCATACAATAACACACACTCGTTCTGTCTGTAACAGATTCTCCCGATACAATGGCACACACTTGTTCTGTCTGTAACACATTCTCCCCATACAATAACACACACTTCTTCTGTCTGTAACAGATTCTCCCCATACAATAAAACACACTTGTTCTGTCTGTACCAGATTCTCCCCATACAATAACACACGCTTGTTCTGTCTGTAACAGATTCTCCTCATACAATAACACACACTTGTTCTGTCTGTATCAGATTCTCCCCATACAATAACATACACTTGTTCTGTCTGTAACAGATTATCCCCATACAATAACACACACTTTTTCTGTCTGTAACAGATTCTCCCCCTACAATAACACACACTTGTTCTGGCTGTAACAGATTCTCCCCATACAATCACACACACTTGTTCTGTCTGTAACAGATTCTCCCCATACAATAACACACACTTGTTCTGTCTGTATCATTCCAGACAACATTTACGTAGTACGACTCACCTCCGTATTTTCGGCTGGTAGGTCGAGTGAATCCACTCCTTCACCACAGAGTATAGTGGCTCCTTCTTCCACCCCAATCTTCACATAACCTTTGACCTTCTGTAGGTGTTCCTTACTGATCAAAGCACCCATAAAGCTACTGTCTTGTTTGCGATCCCCAACCTTCAACTTCCTGTAAACAAATACGGTTTCACAATTTTATGCCACAGCCACTGGTAACTTAACCCTTTCTGTACATTTGTCATAAAGTCTTCATTGGGAAAATATTGTAAATTAAAAAAAAATAACATCAATGAAAAATTCAGCATCTCTTCACTAAAGTAATTTGCTTTTCCCCTGGTTTCCTCTGGACCTATAGACGAAATGAGCATTTTTTTAAAAAAAAAATTAAATTTTGAACTAAAAGAAGGATTATTATATTAATATAACAAGAGGCCCGGCTAGCTAGCTAGGGGCCTTAATAGCTCACCCGGTATTTTGTTTTTATTAAAAACCTGCTGAGTACCATATAACAGTTTATCAAACGCTATTACAAACATGATACAGCTCCCACCTAGAATCAAACACATATGATTTGAAGGCTGGCCTATATATTAAGACGACTTATTTCTGAGATGTGGTTGACTGTAAGGAATCTAAGGATTATTATCAAGATTTTAGGGATATGACAAGAATGTGTTTCTATATTTAACCACTCACTTGGTTTCCTCAACAAACTTCTTCAGGAAGGTTTGGTAGACCGACCTCTCCACGTATATACGACTCGTACACAAACAAATCTCTCCCTGGTTGATGAAACTAGATCTGAAATACGAAGGTAGACCTATAGATCAGAAATGTTGTTCTGAAATATTGATAATGATAATCTTTATTTGCAATAGACATTATATTCACACCATGATAGTACAAGATAGTCTCTGACAACAGGCTAGACACAAATATACAGACATACATACAAACATACATACATACATGTACACACACGCACGCACAGGTATAACCACAGCATTTAGCAAAGTGTTACATATTATGAGCGTAATTAAAGATACAATGACATATTTTTCAATGTAATTTTAATTTAATAATACAATGCACTTCATTTCTTATTTCATTTGCTTAATAAATTTACATTATGAATTACAGTTTTGTTCTTTAAAGGTTTTTCTCACCTTTCAGAGAAGCCCTATGAAAAGGTCTGCTATGTCATTTTTTCTTGTTTTGAAGTTTTAGTATAAAGACACTGTGTTTCAGACTTTAACTTGTTTTGATGTTTTAGTATAAAGACACCGTCTTTCGGACTTTAACTATGCTTGTCTGAATTCAATGTTTTAGTATAAAGACACCGTCTTTCGGACTTTAACTATGCTTGTCTGAATTTAATGGTTTAGTATAAAGACACTTTGTTTCAGACTTTAACTATGCTGGTCTGAATTTAATGAATACAACAAAATAAGGGTACCAACTAAAATCAAGGGAAATGTAACTGTTTACTTAGCCTTAATAATTCCATACCTTATGGTTGTAGGGATGCACTTCTCCATATCAGCATCAGCAAAAATGACCGCTGGATTTTTGCCTCCAAGCTACAAAGAGCCACCATAGAATCAGTCAGTATTTAATTCATCAAAACATACAACAGAAACACTTGTATGTGAAATATATGATAGAAAACATCTTATTTTTAAACTAATTAAAAACAGTTTCAGAAATATGAATGTTGAAAGTTAAGCATTAATTAAGAACCAGTGGTACAGTTGTGCCCTGGTTGGCGAGAAACCACCCAGGTACACATGTGTAAAAGCTTTCAGTCATTCACCCCTGATGACAAATTTGAACTCTTCCAATTCAATGGTTGGAATAGTTCATTATGAAATTTTAGGGGTGAATGAGTTAAAGTAGCTACATTTACCTGTGTGTTTGTATGAGACTGTGTGTTGAACATTATAATATAAACATCTAGCTAAAATATGGTAACCTACCCTAAAATCAAGATTATACAGTTCTCAAAAAAAATCATACTAATTGTTAAAGCAATTAAGTTAATATCAACCACCATTGCCACCGCATATCATTGGTCCATTGTGAACACCGATATGTGAAAACTTTAACCCTTTCACCAATGTGGACCATAATGGACCCATCCAGATCAATGCACGGTAGAGTCTACTAAAACTACTTAGGGGTGAAAGGGTTAATCACTTTGTATTTTATCATTCGCACATTGAGCACACGGCATTCATGTTGTGCCATCCCACTACTGTGCAATTATATGTTTCTAAGTCATTCGGTTTACAGAAGTTGTTTAGGTTCCTGGTCGGTTTACAGAAGTTGTTTAGGTTACTGGTCGGTTTACAGAAGTTGTTTAGGTTCCTGGTCTGTTTACAGAAGTTGTTTAGGTTACTGGTCGGTTTACAGAAGTTGTTTAGGTTCCTGGTCGGTTTACAGAAGTTGTTTAGGTTACTGGTCGGTTTACAGAAGTTGTTTAGGTTCCTGGTCGGTTTACAGAAGTTGTTTAGGTTACTGGTCGGTTTACAGAAGTTGTTTAGGTTCCTGGTCGGTTTACAGAAGTTGTTTAGGTTACTGGTCGGTTTACAGAAGTTGTTTAGGTTCCTGGTCGGTTTACAGAAGTTGTTTAGGTTACTGGTCGGTTTACAGAAGTTGTTTAGGTTCCTGGTCGGTTTACAGAAGTTGTTTAGGTTACTGGTCGGTTTACAGAAGTTGTTAAGGTTACTGGTCGGTTTACAGAAGTTGTTTAGGTTACTGGTCGGTTTACAGAAGTTGTTTAGGATACTGGTCAGTTTACAGAAGTTGTTTAGGTTACTGGTTGGTTTACAGAAGTTGTTTAGGTTCCTGGTCAGTTTACAGAAAGTTTTTAGGTTCCTGGTCGGTTTACAGAAGTTGTTTATGTTACTGGTTGGTTTACAGAAGTTGTTTAGGTTCCTGGTCGGTTTACTGAAGGTTTTAAGGTTCCTGGTCGGTTTACAGAAGTTTTTTAAGTTCCTGGTCAGTTTACAGAAGTTGTTTAGGTTCCTGGTCGGTTTACAGAAGTTTTTTAAGTTCCTGGTCAGTTTACAGAAGTTGTTTAGGTTCCTGGTCGGTTTAAAGAAGTTTTTTAGGTTCCTGGTCTGTTTTACAGAAGTTGTTTAGGTTCCTGGTCGGTTTACAGAAGGTTTTTAGGTTCCTGGTCGGTTAACAGAAGTTGTTTAGGTTACTGGTCGGTTTACAGAAGCTGTTTAGGTTACTGGTCAGTTTACAGAAGTTGTTTAGGTTCCTGGTCCGTTTACAAAAGTTGTTTAGCTTACTGGTCGGTTTACAGAAGTTTTTTAGGTTCCTGGTCAGTTTACTGAAGTTGTTTAGGTTCCTGGTCGGTTTACAAAAGTTGTTTAGCTTACTGGTCGGTTTACAGAAGTTTTTTAGGTTCCTGGTCAGTTTACAGAAAGTTTTTAGGTTCCTGGTCGGTTTACAGAAGTTGTTTAGGTTACTGGTCAGTTAACAGAAGTTGTTTAGGTTCCTGGTCAGTTTACAGAAATTTTTTAGGTTCCTGGTCGGTTTACAGAAGTTTTTTAAGTTCCTGGTCAGTTTACAGAAGTTGTTTAGGTTCCTGGTCAGTTTACAGAAGGTTTTTAGGGTCCTGGTCGGTTAACAGAAGTTGTTTAGGTTACTGGTCGGTTTACAGAAGTTGTTTAGGTTGCTGGTCAGTTAACAGAAGTTGTTTAGGTTCCTGGTCAGTTTACAGAAGGTTTTTAGGTTCCTGGTCGGTTTACAGAAGTTGTTTAGGTTCCTGGTCCGTTTACAAAAGTTGTTTAGCTTACTGGTCGGTTTAAAGAAGTTTTTTAGGTTCCTGGTCAGTTTACAGAAAGTTTTTAGGTTCCTGGTCGCTTTACAGAAGTTGTTTAGGTTACTGGTTGGTTTACAGGAGTTGTTTAGGTTCCTGGTCAGTTTACAGAAGGTTTTTAGGGTCCTGGTCGGTTAACAGAAGTTGTTTAGGTTACTGGTCGGTTTACAGAAGTTGTTTAGGTTCCTGGTCAGTTTACAGAAGGTTTTTAGGGTCCTGGTCGGTTAACAGAAGTTGTTTAGGTTACTGGTCGGTTTACACAAGTTGTTTAGGTTACTGGTTGGTTTACAGAAGTTGTTTAGGTTCCTGGTCGGTTAACAGAAGTTGTTTAGGTTACTGGTTGGTTTACAGGAGTTGTTTAGGTTCCTGGTCAGTTTACAGAAAGTTTTTAGGTTCCTGGTCGGTTTACAGAAGTTGTTTAGGTTACTGGTTGGTTTACAGAAGTTGTTTAGGTTCCTGGTCGGTTTACTGAAGGTTTTAAGGTTCCTGGTCGGTTTACAGAAGTTTTTTAAGGTTCCTGGTCAGTTTACAGAAGTTGTTTAGGTTCCTGGTCAGTTTACAGAAGTTGTTTAGGTTCCTGGTCGGTTTAAAGAAGTTTTTTAGGTTCCTGGTCTGTTTTACAGAAGTTGTTTAGGTTCCTGGTCGGTTTACAGAAGTTGTTTAGGTTCCTGGTCGGTTTACACTGATTTGTAGCAGTAGCCCATACATTCTTAACAATTTTGTGGAAGACAATTATATGAGGTGATTAAGAACTATGTTTAAACCTCAAGTGAGAGTTTCTTGCAGAAAGGAGCAGCTGACATCCTCAGCCTCTTGGCCGTCACAGTTCCCCCAGTAAAGGATACCAGGGGTACATCTGGGTGTACCACCAGTGCCTCCCCCGCCTTGGGCCCCACACCAAACACCAGGTTGATTACCCCTGGGGGCACACCTGTAACAAACAAAGATTTCAATAAAATATAACAGATTTCAAATCTCTATCAGGCCCTACCCCAAACACTAGGTTGATTACCCCTGGGGGTACACCTGTAACAAACAAAGATTTCAATAAAATATAAAAGTCTACCTGGGAGGAGGGGACATCTTTTCCTCCCTGTCAAGCTGAAAATGAAACATGCACTGGTTACCTGTACGATACAGGTCGCAGTACAAAATTTTGGTGTACTCATACAAGGCACTTAATGGAACAGCTCCTAAGTATCTACAGGAGCTTGTTACCCTGTATCAGCTGTCACGATCACTGCGGTCGGAGTCAGAATCATTGTTGTGTGTCCAAAATCTTGTGCTGTGACCTATGGAATCCGGTGCTTTGGGAGGGTTTCGGCCAGGTTGTGGAATAGCTTACCATCTGCTATTAGAAAGTCAAATACCCTGGCCAAATTCAAGAGGGACATAAAAACTCACCCTTTCATGTCTGCATTTTAGGTTCTTTGCAAAGATGTCATGTAAATACCACCCTTTATTTATTCATTTATGCACATTGCGATGATTATCTGCTTGCTTAATGTATAAAAGTGATTGTTAGCCTTTGTTTTTGTTTCACAATTATGACTAATACTATTATCCATATGTTTAAAGCGCTTTGGAGTAATTTTACAAATTATATAGGGCGCTATATAAATGTTGTATATTATTATTATTATTTTAAGAACCAAGAGCAGTCTAAATAAAAACAAGAGGCCCAGAGGGCCTGTAACGCTCACCTGAATATTTAAGCAGTCATAGCAAAATACTATATTTTTCATTTCAAATATATTTTAAAAGGATTGAGCAACAGGCTTTGCTTATATAAGCTCTCTCCAAAGCTTCCAGCATACTTTTGATATTTGAAGACATTGAATACAATATTTACATACATACATTATATTTCAACTCATCTCATGACACTTGGGTACATTTATTGCTAGGTAATATACAATAATTAGGCTGGATTAATATTTTCATGTTTCCACAAAATTACATTATTTCATGTGATACATGGACTTAAGGAGGCTCCATCCTTTCNTTGAAAGGATCCTCCAGTAATTTAGAAAATTACAACAATGAACTTTACTTAACAAATTAAAGGACAAAGTAGGACCAATGTTTCAATGTTATCTATGAGGTTTAAGGAAGCTTAAGTCAAGTTCCAAGTGGCAAGCTGTCAGACTGTTTGTTTTAGCAATCGGTTTAAAATTAAACCAACATCTATAAGGACCAAGGGGAACCTCAAGAAATGTTAGGACCGAAAGTGAACTTATCACTGATGATGATGGGCTGATAAGTTGACAGTGAAATAGCTATATATATAGACGGATGCTGGATGTGGAGCCACACATAAGTTCAAAGGCACTTCGTGTCAGCCTGGTGAGCTAAAAATAACTTGCCATCTTCACTGGTATCTTATCTTGTCATGGTCATGATTTCCCCATCATATATATAGAGAGCAAAGCCAAAGTAAGCACATACCTGCTTCGTTAAATATCTGGCAGAGTTTCCATGCCGACACCGATGTCATCTCGCTTGGTTTGGCGACAACTGTGTTGCCTGCAGCTATCGCCGGGGCGATCTTAAAGGAGAGCAGGTACAGAGGAAGGTTCCAAGGACTGATGAGGCCAGCCACACCTACAGGGTCTCTCACCGTATAGTTCACAGCGCCTACACCGTCCATCACAGAGGATCTGTCATAGAGAGGGTTAAGAAAGTAGAAACATGTGCATGTGTTATCTAATAATCAGTTGTGGAATGATTACCAAATTTTATGTAAATGCTAACATCCAATGCCGTAGCAATGTGATTTTTTTTTTACAGAGAGCAATCCATACAGCTTTGTGCAGAGTACATGTACACTTATAGAGTTCCAAATGTGGTCCAATTTGTGTTGTTGGTGAAAATACGGTCAATGGTGGTGGGGCCATTGTTTGTTGATGCTGAAATGATTTTTGTTGTCTTTTTATTGTGAGACTAGTTAGCAGTAGTTGTATTCACACTACAAGAAAGTGTTATGCCAAGGGAAAATCTGATTAGTAATGGGCAATAACTCTTGTTAAAATTGACCCAGGATCCTGATTTTTTTATATATAATTATGTGAATTTTATTTTATGATAACCATGACAAAACCAAACTTTGATAGCATTGGGTTGATAACTGTGGAACTAGATATGCTGACAAGAATTAGAAAGTGTTCTCCGACCATTTTCAAGTTATGAACCCGACCCCTGGGATGATACTGGACCCCCAGGCAAATTGTGGTAGCATAAATGTCTTTTGTCTCTTCAAGTTCATAACAAGCAATTGTGTTTATATGGTTGCAGGATCCCAACAGTTTCTAAGGTATGACTGAATTTCCTTATTTTACCCTACCCCTGAGAATAGCATAACATTGGGCCCCAACCCTCTGTCCCCACTTGGACCACGGCCTACTTTACCCTACCCCTGAGAACAGCCTAACATTGGGCCCCAACCCTCTGTCCCCACTTAGACCACAGCCTACTTTACCCTACCCCTGAGAACAGCCTAACATTGGGCCCCAACCCTCTGTCCCCACTTGGACCACAGCCTATTTTACCCTACCCCTGAGAACAGCCTAACATTGGGCCCCAACCCTCTGTCCCAACTTGGACCACGGCCTACTTTACCCTACCCCTTAGAACAGCCTAACATTGGGCCCCAACCCTATGCCCCCACTTGGACCACGGCCTACTTTTCCCTACCCCTAAGAACAGCCTAACATTGGGCCCCAACCCTCTGGCCCCACTTAGACCACGGCCTACTTTACCCTACCCCTAAGAACAGCCTAACATTGGGCCCCAACCCTCTGTCCCCACTTGGACCACGGCCTACTTTACCCTACCCCTAAGAACAGCCTAACATTGGGCCCCAACCCTCTGTCCCCACTTAGACCACGGCCTACTTTACCCTACCCCTGAGAACAGCCTAACATTGGGCCCCAACCCTATGTCCCCACTTGGACCACACCCTTAAATTCATACAAGGTTGAGTCCTCTTGTTTCCAGAGGATGTTCTACTAAATCTGATTTTATTTAAATACCATTCATTAATTGGAAGGAAGATAAATTTTAAATATTCACCGCTACTTCCTCACTAGGGCTGATCATTATCTCCCCTAAGGGTGCCATACCCTCCATTTATACAATTAACATGGATTCCCATTTGCCCAAGGATACATGTTCTAGTCAAAATTTGGTTAAAATACCTGGTGTCTACTGCAGGAATATAAATGACTTTATTTATTTTTTCTGAATTTACCCTATTGTGCCCCACCCCTCTATCGTAAAAAAAAATCATTCAGTATCCTTGCCCAATGATGTTCCAGACCTAATTCAAAATCCATTCAGACCTAGTAGAATTTTAAGGGGAAAGTTGAAGACAGACAGATGAACGGCAGATTGTCACAACACAATAGGACCACAAGTCAAAACAATAAGTGCACTTTCAAATTCATCAGGTCCATACAGGAATTTATGAAGTACAGAAATTTAAGTATCAATTAAAAAGTAATTTCTCATATCAACTCAAAGAATATGCAATAATTGTATAAATATGATAATAAATAAAATAATTTTCTGTTCAAAGATAAAATTTCAATACTTTTGTTCACAGACAAAAAATATTAAAGAAAACTATCTTACCTATTTGTATCATGTAGCACAGAGGATGCAAATATGCGGAAGTTGTACACCGCCCTCGGGATGTCTATAGCCTTGGCCAGCCAAACTGGCTTTCCCTGGTCATGTGATTCAAGTTCAGCAAACTCTACTAGACGAGACTCCAACAGGTCAGCAATCTTCATCAGGACCTTTGACCTCTCCTCAGCAGTTTTCACCGACCATCTGTCAAATAACCATGTGTTTACGTTTCACCGGCCATCTGTCAAATAAACATGTGTTTACGTTTCACCGCCCCTCTGTCAAATAAACATGTGTTTACGTTTCACCGACCATCTGTCAAATAGCCATGTGTTTACGTTTCACCTACCATCTGTGAAATAAACATGTGTTTACGTTTCACCGACCATCTTTCAAATAAACATGTGTTTACGTTTCACCGACCATCTGTCAAATAACCATGTGTTTACGTTTCAACTACCATCTGTCAAATAAACATGTGTTTACGTTTCACCGACCATCTTTCAAATAAACATGTGTTTACGTTTCACCGACCATCTGTCAAATAAACATGTGTTTACGTTTCACCGACCATCTATCAAATAAACATGTGTTTACATTTCACCGACCATCTATCAAATAAACATGTGTTTACATTTCATCTACCATCTATCAAATAAGCATGTGTTTACGTTTCACCGACCATCTATCAAATAAACATGTGTTTACGTTTCACCATCCATCTATCAAATAACCATGTGTTTACGTTTCACCGACCATCTATCAAATAACCATGTGTTTACGTTTCACCGACCATCTATCAAATAAACATGTGTTTACGTTTCACCGACCCTCTGTCAAAAACTCTTTTTTTAGACCAGTGATCATATTCTCAAGACATCTAACTTATGTTTATGTTGCTCGCATAAATTCTGACGTTTGGAAGAGATTTGCCGTGTTATTTACACTTTTTCCTGGATTTATATTTAAGCTGTTCATTTCACAAATATAACAATTCACATCAAACATGATGGACAATTAAACCTTCAACCAAGGACTGACCTGCAAAATCTATATAAACAATGTTCCCGAGACCTCGGTGAGCAGGGCTGACAAAAACAATATTTCGCCACCAGTAGTTCAGTTGAACCCATGATTCCAAGAATATATCTAATCTGTCATTAGCACTATACTAGACCTCACTGCCAACTTGTACAAGTTAGTGTGTCCAAAAAAAGCAGGACAGGCACCGGTCTGTTAGAGAATATATAAATGTATCTTGTCAGTGGTGTTACATTTCATTTTTCCAAATTTCTATTAGCTCTATACAGAAAATATCAATCTTTTTACTTCATTTGCGTGAGCACAGTTTAAAAATAGCGACATTCATTTCTGCTTGTTTTCACAATAGTTTCACTGACAATGACAATCTAACAATATGTTGATTTGATTATTGCAGTTGGCATATATTTCTTTGCATTTGTGGCAGATTTCAATTGTACATAGGATTACGGTCGGCTTCTAGCTTCCCACTAGAGGGAAGTTACCTTCACAATGTAGCTTAGAACGAATATTCATACCCTGCCTACGCTCCGCGACGACGCAATATATATAAAAAAATGTCTCGTCGTCAGAAAGCTACGTTATCGCAGCTAAATGTAGCTCAGTATGTGGTAGAGGGTCCAAGTAACATTGTAGGACCTTAGGGATCGTGGGTTCGATCCCTGAGGTGGAAGCACACTATTCTCTTCCTTGTTACACATTTAACTAATTACTTCTGTGTAAAAGTCTTAAGCAACAACTATGGTGTATGAAATTCTGATGTGTCCAAAAATATGTTATGCGTGTTATATAGTCTACGGACTTGTGTAAGTCTACATGTATATACCCGTTTTCAACTTTATATTTACCTATCTAAAAAGGACATAAATAATACGAAACTGTAATCCATTCTATCACAAATAAACACAAATGGGTACCCTATAGGCATACTTGTTGTCGTTGTACAGAAAGGCATCAATCAGTGGCATAACAAGTTGACATTGACGCAGTCAAAACGAAACCAGGTCAAGTCAATTATCGTACTTACGTTTTGAAGGCAGTCTGTGCTGCTGTCACCGCTTTGTTTATCTCCTCCTCGCCGCTGTCCGGAATCTTCGCCCATATCTTCCCAGTTGACGGGTCAAAGCTTGGAATGTATGAATTTGTTGGTACGAATTCTCCGTTTATAAAGTTTGCTACGACTACCTCACCCATGGTTAGGCCTAATATACTGTCGGCAACTAATCATGTAACGAGCTATTTCATTGGCTGCACCAACTTTCGTGTGGCGCCAAATTAGAAAATCTGCAGGTGCGCTGAAAAGAAATCAACTTTATTACGATTTTAATTTCCTGATGATTTACTCATCTACGATGAGGTGAAGTTCCCTTCATGTGTTCGTTCTAATAAGAAGCTTATCAAAAACTAAAACAATCTAAATGTGATTTCCCTATACGACTGTTGAAGAGATAGTTGAGTGAAAGTTAGGGTAGGCAGTCGGAATTTATTACAATTTCATTATAACATTCTTCTTATTTCAGGGGTGGAGGCTCTAATTTAGGAAATTACAAAAATCACCAGACACATTTTAGGTATTTTGAAAAGAATTGATGTCAAAACCTCCGTTAAAATCCTTTGCTCAAAAAGATGGACTGGCGTGCGCTAAATACGTCACTGCGGAAATTGACAAAAAATCCGCCAAATGTTTTTAGGGTTACTATACATGCATTCCGTCTTGAACAAATATATGAAACGTCACCACACACCTATATCAGAAGTTCGAAACCGAATCCAAAATAATACGAGTTGTCAATGCAAATTATCGTTAAATAATAAATATTTATTATTGTTTTTATCATCAAAGTTCAATAAATCAACTGGAGTTGCACGTTTATATTTTGATTTATAAGCAATGAGAAATGTTCGAAATACATACTAAAACGCGAGGGTACCAGAAATCATGGAAAACATTTTAAAGGCAATATTAATAATTCCTATTTAATTTCTGGACCATCATTTTTTTACTATAATGAAACAACGAAAGCCCTACTATTACAATACATACGTATAGATATTGGGGTAACACCAGCGCGTGTATCTATCAATCCAGCCCATTTAGATGAGTTTGGCTCACTCGGAAGCTTTAGCCTAGTTCGCCGAGTAGCAAAAGTTGAACACCTATAACCATTTAAGTCTGTTTAGGAAAACTATTGGCAGCATTTAAAATAAGTTGTCCATATTTCAAGTTCGCTGACTATATACTTAAACAATCGAAGCTTTACAGCCGAGCTATAAAATCTGAAAAATCCAAGAACTGAAATAAGTATAAGCATATTAAAAAGCTAATCCAGAGAAAATATGAGACGTACAATCAATATATTAACAATATGATATGCAGTGACGAGTCTAGACCTAAACTGATCAGGAACTACAATTGTATACTAAAAACAAGAAAAATAACAAGTGTAAAGTTGCTCCATTAAAACGAAATGGTTTCTGTTTAAGTGACAGCGAAACAAAAGCTAACATCCTAAACTTTTAATTCTTCACCTCAGAGAATATGACCAACTTTCCGAACTTAGGACCAAGTCCAACACCAGACATCAAATCCATCCACGTAAATCCCACAAGATCTGCCAAACTACTACAAAAGCTTAAAATCCACACAAAGCCACCGGCCCAGACGGTTTCCCGGCACGTTTTCTTAAAGAACCCGCAAATGAAATAACGACTGCCCCTACACCCATCTTCCGGGCTTCAATCAACCAGGGGGAATTCCATCTGACTGACACCCCCCCCCCCCCCCCCCCCCCCCCCCCCCCCCCCCCCCNGGGAGACATAATCCAGACCTCCAACTGTAGGTCAATTTTATTAACCTTAGACTGGCCACCAGCCCCTAAGTTTTTATGAAGAATTTCCTGACTGCATTTTAGACATCCAGGTGATCAAAATTATTAGAGTTATTTTATTTTCTTAATTATTCAATAATCTCTCAATATGTTGTAAGATCAATGAGCATATCAACCATAGCAGCATTCTCTCCATATATAGAGAAACACAACAGCCTTGCAGAAAAACAACATGGCTTTCGTAAAAGAAGATCTCGCGAGACCCAACAAGCCTTAACCATTCATGATCTGGCTAAAGGCCTGGACGCTGAAAACAAATAGATGGGATCCTCTTGGTTTTCCAAGGCATTTGACAAAGTGCCTCACCAACGTCTCCTTCTGAAACTCCACCACTTCATGGTGTCAGAGGTAGTATCTTCGAGTGGATAGAGAACTTCCATTCCTATCTGAAAGAAAACATCTCTGGTTGACCCAGTTACTTTTGGAGTTTCTCAAGGTACTGTCATTAGGCCATCACTAGTTCTTGTCTATATCAACGACATGCTTAGTCGCGCAGAGTCCCAGACTCGACTCTTCACAGACGACTGCTGATATGTACCGGAAAATATTATCCAAATATATATATAAAGATGATGTGTCACTCCTACAAAAAGACCTTGACAACCTAATCGATAGGGAACAAACACGGCAAATGCAGCTTAATCCAGAAAAAAATGTGAAAAGTCCTCTCTGTCACTAAAAAGCGAAATCTAATTCATCACGACTACCTCATCCACGTTCATACCTTATATCATGTCGACTCAGTAAAATATTTAGGCTTTCATCTCTCGAAAAACTTATCCTGGAACACCCCCACTGATGCTGTTACTTAGAAAGCAAACAGCATCTTGTCTTTCTTTAAAAGGAACATTGGACAATACCCACCTAAAGCCAAAGAACATACTTTTAACACCTTTGTCAGACCAATCCAAGCGAAACATCAACGAACTCGAGATGGTCCAAAGTAGAGGGCCATATTTGAATCCAATGACTATACCGCAAACAAGCAGTGTAAGGAACATGCTCACTTATCTTGGATGGGAACCTCTTCAGTCTAGAGGAACCAAAGTTAAATCCATCCTGCTGTACAAAATTGTTAACCATCTAGTAGACATACCAGGGGAGCCATACCTCATACCAGCAGGTACTTCTACAAGTGGTCATACCATCCGATACCTCACTGCCGAACACTGTTATACCAACGCTCATTCTTTCCGAGTGCCATCAGAATTTGGAGCACTTTGCCACCTCCGCTGGTCAATTTGCCAACCCTCAATGGGTTCAGTCCGGCACTGTCTCCTCCAAAGTCTCGCTGAGAAATTGTATAAACAGATTTTAACGGTACATACGTATATTTTAACTGAATATAGAGGATAGCTGAGTCGCTAAAGCATGTATACGACAGTGTGAATATACTCAAAAAAGACTAAACAAAAACAACAAGAAGAAAGGTTTGCTACATCCTGATCAACTGTAGTTATTCCATGTCTTTCAATTTGATTGACCATCTTTATTGTTGTGCCGTACCTTTTCCTGGGATTTCTAATAAAAAAAAATTCAATCGTGTTAAACATATTTGGGTAGGCTATCATAACGTACATTAAAAATCCGTTCAGATCCCTTAAATTTGGTAATTTCTACAAGACTATTACCTCAATCTGCTTTATCTTTCACATCGCAAACTTAATATAAGTAACATAAGCAAATAAATGCAGCTAATTTACTTATAGGAAGAATATATCGTTTCATTTCGCGTATTGTTGCCTTATGACGCTTTTGTCGCTTTTATGAATTTCATTGACGATGAGAGTTATTCCCCTTTTCCGGAAGTTGACAATATTTTACCGCGAAAGAGAGGCCGTCTTACTACGAATGAAGTTGTTTACCAGCTAAAAAGAGAATAGTTGTAAATTGTTATGCATGTCATAAAACGTGTTGAGTACAAGACTTATCTCAGACAGGTATATGTGATTATGCATTTGAAAGCGCATGTAAATATTTTGCATTTCTTGCAAATTTGAAGTGCAGACAGTGTCGGTGAAGAGATAGCTATGCCCACAGGCACCTGCCGACAGCTATGCCCACAGGCACCTGCATCTGGTAACTTATGTAAATATGCGAAAATAAGAAATAGTCTTAATTACCCTTCTATTTAGACAGATGCAGATTATGCGACTTGAACATAAACCGATGTGACACAAAGATACTGAAATAATTTGGGCACCATAATTACCTTCTGTCTTGGTCTTGCAAGCCGTCACGTTGTTGACTATATCATAATGCCGCTGGACAGGTCAGGTCAGGTAATATAGCTCATAATACTAGTAATTATGTATCTGGCACGGTACCCAATAATATGCGAGGTCACCGAGAAACTGTCACTACTATAAGTAGAGCACACTGTAGGAATAATGGGTTACAATGTCTACAATATGCAGAGCATGTAATAAGCCGTCTGTACGGTCTGGAATCCTGGAAGGAAGAGAGTTGGGGACAAGGAATATTCATTCAAGCAGCACAGGGTCCTTGGCATCTTTCTTCCGGTGGAAGCCCAGATGACGTAATGTAAACAGACCAACGACACTACAATTCTGAAAAGAATGTGACAACCATTTTGTAAATTTATCAATCTGAAGTCAAGTAAAATTTATTTATAAGTCGGTTCATAGTTTAACATGATAACACAACCCTGTTAAAGGGTTTGACAACCGACAACTTATATCAATTACCATTACCTGCATAAGACTAGGGCAGAACTGATCATACCTTTTCAGTAAATAAAATATAAAATATTTCACCTGTGTAACAGGAGAATAAAAATGCACGGCCAGATCGGGGTTCAAACCTGGGACCTTCCGAACTCAAGACTGGTGCTCTACCGATTGAGCTATCTGGTCTCCAATGATCGACCCGGAAAGTCCAGTTCCGCGAACCTGTCTCCTTATAAATAACAAAAGTCTTCGACCCCGAAGACACATGAGACCCTATACCACCTTCTGTGGGTATATTTCGTTGGGCCAAATATACAAATATAACAGGAGAGGAAAATGCGCGGCTAGACCGGGCTTCAAACCTGGGACCTTCGGAACTCTAGATGGGTGCTCTACCAATTGAGCTAATCTGGTCGCCGACGATCGACCCATATGGCCAGTCCTGTTCCGCTACACAGGTGTATGAATGAAAAGACGGTATATCAACATTTAGAGCAGGGTTTTTGGAGACAGCAGAGATAATGAAGGGCAGGGGCATTCACAATTGAAAGTGCATGATAACCCTCCCGGGAGATTTGTCTCTGAGTACATCAACAGAGGGGGGTATATTAAAACACAGAATGACACTATCAGAATATAGAAATAGCTTTTAAATAGACCTGTTGGAGAAAGTGACACAAACTTATGTTTCTTTGACAGATCCTACGTGAGAGGACTGGAACTGTTGTAACCTAGATTTCGGCACCAAGTATCATGATTGATTTATAGTAGAAATGGATCAGACAACTTCTGCAAGGTACGTAACTCAATTAACACCCAATTGTGTAAGTGTAACTGCCAAATGTATGTGGTTAATGATCTCCTTGATATACAATGTTTGTATTGAATCATTGATATATAATCTGAACTGAACTAACAGAAAATGAAGAAGAAAATGTCAAAAATGTTCATATATATATATCTAGATGCAATTATTACAAAATGCCAGTTCTTTGTGCAGGATTAAAGCCAGGGCTGTGGAGGAAGTGTAAAACTTTCAATACATTTAGGTTTTATTTTAAGCCTATTAGACTTAAGACTTTTGATAGTATGATTGTATAAAACCAGGATCATGTTTTGAGTGTCATTTTGATGTGGTTTACAGGGCCTCATCTCGTGCCCATAAAAGGAAATCAAATGGAGAGGAAGAGGAAGAAGTTGGAGGTTTCCGAAAACAAATCCGCAAATGTGAGCGTGCTGGATGTCCGAGTAAAGCCCCGATCTGTTTTGCTGGGGCCTCAGAGAAGTAAGGAAATTAATGCAGCAGGCAATTAATTTTTATGTGTATTTGTATAAACACTGCAAAATAACCCTGTCAATGTTTGGAACGGAATTTACTTCACTGGTGCTCTCTGCACCACTGGAATACTGGTGCTCTCTGCACCACTGGAATACTGGTGCTCTCTGCACCACTGGAATACTGGTGCTCTCTGCACCACTGGAATACTGGTGCTCTCTGCACCACTGGAATACTGGTGCTCTCTGCACCACTGGAATACTGGTGCTCTCTGCACCACTGGAATACTGGTGCTCTCTGCACCACTGGAATACTGGTGCTCTCTGCACCACTGGAATACTGGTGCTCTCTGCACCACTGGAATACTGGTGCTCTCTGCACCACTGGAATACTGGTGCTCTCTGCACCACTGGAATACTGGTGCTCTCTGCACCACTGGAATACTGGTGCTCTCTGCACCACTGGAATACTGGTGCTCTCTGCACCACTGGAATACTGGTGCTCTCTGCACCACTGGAATATATCATAACAAAATGGAAGAATCAGTGTGTGCCACGTTGTGAATGAGACAAAAAGACTAGTTTGATGAGTGATTTCTGAAAAGAAAACCATACTTTGTGACCCTTTCATCAAAAAATAATAGAGATGAAGTAAACACTTCAGCAGGACTTGACCGGGATTCCAACCTAGTAATAATACTGCCTAAACCAAGCAACTAAATTAAATCATAAATTTTCGTTTGACATTGATTTACGTTTATTTCTTTGATAACAAAAATCCACGAAATTATATCAACACGAATATAAATATAGGGGAAAATCAGAAATCAGCGAAATGTAATGTCCTTGAAACAGGCTAGTATATGAAAACCATTGAAATTTTAACCCCACAGAAATAAATGATTCTACAGAATATACAAAAAACTACAGATTCAGTGGGACAAAATACTTAATGAATAAATCAGCTTTCTTCAAGGGAGGGTCAGTGGTATCCTAGGTTGTAATTGTGACTACATAATAATGATGTTACGCGGGGGCCATGACATTGGTAGTTGATGCAGTGTGATCTGATCTTGGTAGGGTTAGAGTGGATGTACCACAGAGTGGTCAATATATATTTCTTAAAGTTCCTGTCTCAGATATTGAGTAGTACTGAACAGTATCAAGTTTCACTCACATGGGGCCTTCTGATTTTAATTGATAGGGATAATTAAATCTTCTAAATTTCTTGATATTTCCTGATTGAAAAGGCAAAGATAGCTTTGTAAAAAAGAAATTGATTGTTTTTTAGGTAATTGTGTGTATACATATGGTGTACAGAAAAAGTACTGAAAAGCTGAGAAAGAACCAGATGGTTATGTGTGTTTTATGTTTGATAGGTGTGCTGGTAATGTCTACACGTCTAGATGGTATCATGTGTGTTTTATGTTTGATAGGTGTGCTGGTAATGGCTACACGTCCAGATGGTATCATGTGTGTTTTATGTTTGATAGGTGTGCTGGTAATGGCTACACGTCCAGATGGTATCATGTGTGTTTTATGTTTGATAGGTGTGCTGGTAATGGCTACACGTCCAGATGGTATCATGTGTGTTTTATGTTTGATAGGTGTGCTGGTAATGGCTACACGTCCAGATGGTATCATGTGTGTTTTATGTTTGATAGGTGTGCTGGTAATGGCTACACGTCCAGATGGTATCATGTGTGTTTTATGTTTGATAGGTGTGCTGGTAATGGCTACACGTCCAGATGGTATCATGTGTGTTTTATGTTTGATAGGTGTGCTGGTAATGGCTACACGTCCAGATGGTATCATGTGTGTTTTATGTTTGATAGGTGTGCTGGTAATGGCTACACCTCCAGATGGTATCATGTATCTGCAGGTGAACACTTCTGTAACGAGTGCTTTGAACATTACTACAGAAGGTTTGTATTTTGCCTTGAAGAATTCTATCAATTCCTAGTACAGCTATTGGTCATCGAGATTGAATTTGTGTGTATTTGTCTGCAGCTTTTTGAAAAACCCTCAATTCTGACTGACTGACTGACTGATGCTTTCTGTAATAACTGAATATTTTTTGTTTTTGTTTTTTTTGTTGAAATACATTGAAAAGATAAAAAAAAGAATGTTATATCTGTAAACACTTCATCCTCTCTGGCTGTTCCTTGTATTTCAATCAAATTTAATGATACATCTTTGGTACTATAAAGAAATGAAAGGTTTTTGTCCTCTTTGGTATTGAGAGGTAGAGCTAAAAATTGGGAAATTTATGTCATACTACTATAATTGAGTATATTTTCCCATGATGACTGAAATGGACCTCTTGTAAGTTGTTGTCTTATGGTTTAAAATGTTGTGTATTTCTTTGTGAACAGTCACAAGAGTGGGTACGAGACGTATGCTACATGGAAGCGGGTGTGGTGTACATATGGCCGCGGAGATTCCAACATCCACATCTTCATGTGTGACCAGATCTTACCCTACTGGGTACAGTGCTCCCTCTGTGCCAAGTGGAGACAACTCTCCAGAGACGCCACATTGCTACCAGATTTTCTTCGTAATTTTGTGTGTGGAATGACAGTCTCTGGTGTAAAGGTAGATCTGACTTGTAGAATTATTTTAAAAGTGTGACAATAATGTCAAACAGAATAAAAAATATTTTTGAATAGAATATAAAATATGTTTGAGTTTCAATGGCGATGGTGCAGTATAGTCATAATTTTTCTGGTTTTTTAATAGATAAGATTTTTTGTATATAAAACAGTTAAACTTTGATGTACATATTGAAATTGATAAAACTTTATTTAGTTATTTTCCTATGGTTATTTTGTAGAAGATGAATCAGGAAGATGCCTGTAGTTATCCTGAGGACCAGGTGAGAGTACATCCTAGTCAGCACTGTTAAGGATGTGTGTTACCACAGTGTTAAAGATGTGTGTTACCACAGTGTTAAGGATGTGTGTTACCACATACAGTGTTAAGGATGTATGTTACCACAGTGTTAAGGATGTGTGTTACCACATTGTTAAGGATGTATGTTACCACAGTGTTAATGATGTGTGTTACCACAGTGTTAAGGATGTATGTTACCACAGTGTTAATGATGTATGTTACCACAGTGTTAAGGATGTATGTTACCACAGTGTTAAGGATGTGTGTTACCACAGTGTTAAGGATGTGTGTTACCATGTTGTGCCATCAAATTCTCTAAAGATACAAAACAAAATATATCTATATCTAATGCGGAGCAGTCAACAGTTCCGGTATAACCATAAACCAAATATCCATTAAAAATTTCGCAATTATACACAACAGTATTATAGTGAGCATGAATACAGGTACATTAGACGAGGGTAATGTGTTTAAATCAAAGGACTATTTTCTGTGAGTTATTATTAATCTCCTGATGTTGATGTTTCAGCGCGTGGACCTGACACGAGACTCGCCCTGGGTGAGCCTGTTGCGTTGTCTGTCCTACATGAAGAGCTCCCCGGCGTGGCCTTTCCTTACCTCCTACATACCCAACGGTGTCGGCATGAGTCCCTTGGACACGGAAGTCTTCCAGGAAACTAAACCACCTGGTAACACCAATATCTTCCATCATTTACACAAAACCAGTGTAAAATATTTGGTTAATTTGCAGCTTCATATACTTAATGTAATGTTACCAGTCACTTGTAAATCAAAGGACATTTTGTTTTGAAAGGTCCTTTTCATAAAAAACTTAATGGGGAAAAAATACATGTAATATATGTTTAAGAAAGTTTTGTATGTTACTCTACCTAAAGTTTTGTATATTTGACAGTAATGTTACCCTACCTGAAGTTTTGTATATTTGACAGTGATGTTACCCTTCATCACGTTCTATATATTTGACAGTGACGTTACCCTACCTGATGTTTTGCATATTTGACAGTAATTTTACCCTACCTGAAGTTTGTACATTTGATAGTGATGTTACCCAACTGATGTTTTGTATATTTGACAGTAATGTTACCCTACCTGAAGTCTTGTTTATTTGACAGTGATGTAACCCAACCTGATGTTGTGTATATTTGACAGTAATGTTCCCCTACCTGAAGTTTTGGTTATTTGACAGTGATGTTTCCCTACCTGAAGTTTTGTATTTTTGACAGTGATGTTACTCTACCTGATGTTTTGTATATTTGACAGGGAGGTTACCCTACCTGATGTTCTGTATATTTGACAGTGATGTTACCCTACCTGAAGTTTTGTATATTTAACAGTGATGTACCCTACCTGAAGTTTTGTATATTTGACAGTGATGTTACCCTACCTGATGTTTTATATATTTGACAGTGATGTTACCCTACCTGATGTTTTGTATATTTGACAGTGATTTTACCTTCTAGAAATTTTGTATATTTGACAGTGATGTAACCCAACCTGATGTTGTGTATATTTGACAGTGATGTTACCCTACCTGAAGTTTGTACATTTGATAGTGATGTTACCCAACTGATGTTTTGTATATTTGACAGTGATGTTACCCTAACTGAAGATGTGTATATTTGACAGTGATGTTACCCTACCTGAAGTTTTGTATATTTGACAGTGATGTTACCCTACCTGAAGTTTTGTATATTTGACAGTGATGTTACCCTACCTGAAGTTTTGTTTATTTGACAGTGATGTTACCCTACCTGAAGTTTTGTATATTTGACAGTGATGTTACCCTACCTGATGTTTTGTATATTTGACAGTGATTTTACCTTCTAGAAGTTTTGTATATTTGACATTGATGTAACCCGACCTGAAGTTTTGTATATTTGACAGTGATGTTACCCTACCTGAAGTTTTGTATATTTGACAGTGATGTTACCCAACTGATATTGTGTATATTTGATAGTGATGTTACCCTACCTGAAGTTGTGTATATTTGACAGTGATGTTACCCTACCTGCAGTTTTGTATATTTGACAGTGATGTTACCCTACCTAAAGATTTGTATATTTGACAGTGATGTAACCCTACCTGAAGTGTTGTATATTTGATAGTTATGTTACCCTACCTGAAGTTTTGTATATTTGACAGTGATGTTCCCCTAACTGAGGTTTTGTATATTTGACAGTGATGTTACCCTACCTGAAGTTTTGTATATTTGACAGTGATGTTACCCTACCTGAATTTTTGTATATTTGACAGTGATGTTACCCTACCTAAAGTTTTGTATATTTGACAGTGATGTAACCCTACCTGAAGTTTTGTATATTTGATAGTTATGTTACCCTACCTGAAGTTTTGTATATTTGACAGTGATGTTACCCTACCTAAAGTTTTGTATATTTGACAGTGATGTAACCCTACCTGAAGTTTTGTATATTTGATAGTTATGTTACCCTACCTGAAGTTTTGTATATTTGACAGTGATGTTACCCTACCTGAATCCGTTCACTGATGCAGACAGTACAACAGAGATGGCTTGCAGAGTGCCTGCTGATACGCTAGAGGAAGCTGAGCTTGACGAGTTCGTGGATTTCTCTCAGACTCCAACCATCTTCCTAGCCATTAGAAACATCTGTGTTACACTATGGAATTTAAATATTAAAGTAAGCAGCTATATATACTTTACATTTTGTTATTAAACAAATTCTTTGTACCATTCAGACTAGGACACCTTGATACCTTGTTACCTAGGATACCTTGTTACCTAGGACACCTTGATACCTTGTTACCTAGGATACCTTGTTACCTAGGACACCTTGACACCTTGTTACCTAGGACACCTTGTTACCTAGGACACCTTGACACCTTGTTACCTAGGACACCTTGTTACCTAGGACACCTTGACACCTTGTTACCTAGGACACCTTGTTACCTAGGACACCTTGACACCTTGTTACCTAGGACACCTTGTTACCTAGGACACCTTGACACCTTGTTACCTAGGACACCTTGTTACCTAGGACACCTTGACACCTTGTTACCTAGGACACCTTGTTATCTAGGATACCTTGATACCTTGTTACCTAGGACACCTTGTTACCTAGGATACCTTGATACCTTGTTACCTAGGACACCTTGACACCTTGTTACCTAGGATACCTTGACACCTTGTTACCTAGGACACCTTGTTACCTAGGATACCTTGATACCTTGTTACCTAGGACACCTTGTTACCTAGGACACCTTGACACCTTGTTACCTAGGATACCTTGTTACCTAGGACACCTTGATACCTTGTTACCTAACGACATGGGAAGACACCATCTCTATGAGCCTTAGATCACCTGGTCAGCCAAACCGCTGAAGTTTTATTTCATCCATCCTTTCTCCATCAAAATTATTCTGGAAATATCAATTACTTTGAAAAAATGATAAGATTTCATTTATTTGGATCAGGTAATGAAAGGTTGTTTAAAGGAGGATGTGATTCACCTAGAGGAATAAGATGAAACCTGGATTTAATCTTTAAAAAATCCAGTTTGAATAAACGGATGGTGTGGCCCCCCCCCCCCCGGGGGGGGGGGGGGGGGGGGGGGGGGCCAAAAAGGGGAAAAANAAAGGGGAAATAGAGGAAAATGTTTCTCCTTCTGTACAAATGAAGAGATTCAAACCAAATATGGTCTGAAGTATGCTAAGGTAATAAGTCGCAATTTGTATAAACTGAGGCTGTGGCCCCCCTTTTTGGCAGAATGGTGCATGTGAGGCCCAATAGGGGAAATAGAGGAACAATTCCAAATCCTTCTCCTTTTGTACCAATGAAGGGATTTTGACCAAACTTGTTCTAGAGTGTCTTTGGGAAAAAGGGATTCAATTTTGTGTAGTTTTCTTCCAGACCAACCCCTGGAGACTACCTTACTGGGACATAACATTGAAACTCTCATCTTCTTGGTGTCTTATCCACAATTATGTACACTGATTATATTTGACTACAGGGTAATTCTCCATTTCATCAGATCAGTTTTGAGCCAAATTTGTACAATGATCCAGTCGTTGTCCTAACCAAGTGCTGTTATTTTAATTCTTTGGGTCAGTGACATATCTATAGGATGGCTTTTTTACAATGATCCTGTCGTTGTCCTAACCAAGTGCTGTTATCTTAATTCTTTGGGTCAGTGACATATCTATAGGATGGCTTTTGTACAATGATCCTGTCGTTGTCCTAACCAAGTGCTGTTATCTTAATTCTTTGGGTCAGTGACATATCTATAGGATGGCTTTTGTACAATGATCCTGTCGTTGTCCTAACCAAGTGCTGTTATCTTAATTCTTTGGGTCAGTGACATATCTATAGGATGGCTTTTGTACAATGATCCTGTCGTTGTCCTAACCAAGTGCTGTTATCTTAATTCTTTGGGTCAGTGACATATCTGTAGGATGGCTTTTGTACAATGATCCTGTCGGTGTCCTAACCAAGTGCTGTTATCTTAATTCTTTGGGTCAGTGACATATCTATAGGATGGCTTTTGTACAATGATCCTGTCGTTGTCCTAACCAAGTGCTGTTATCTTAATTCTTTGGGTCAGTGACATATCTATAGGATGGCTTTTGTACAATGATCCTGTCGTTGTCCTAACCAAGTGCTGTTATCTTAATTCTTTGGGTCAGTGACATATCTATAGGATGGCTTTTGTACAATGATCCTGTCGTTGTCCTAACCAAGTGCTGTTATCTTAATTCTTTGGGTCAGTGACATATCTATAGGATGGCTTTTGTACAATGATCCTGTCGTTGTCCTAACCAAGTGCTGTTATCTTAATTCTTTGGGTCAGTGACATATCTATAGGATGGCTTTTGTACAATGATCCTGTCGTTGTCCTAACCAAGTGCTGTTATCTTAATTCTTTGGGTCAGTGACATATCTATAGGATGGCTTTTGTACAATGATCCTGTCGTTGTCCTAACCAAGTGCTGTTATCTTAATTCTTTGGGTCAGTGACATATCTATAGGATGGCTTTTGTACAATGATCCTGTCGTTGTCCTAACCAAGTGCTGTTATCTTAATTCTTTGGGTCAGTGACATATCTATAGGATGGCTTTTGTACAATGATCCTGTCGTTGTCCTAACCAAGTGCTGTTATCTTAATTCTTTGGGTCAGTGACATATCTATAGGATGGCTTTTGTACAATGATCCTGTCGTTGTCCTAACCAAGTGCTGTTATCTTAATTCTTTGGGTCAGTGACATATCTATAGGATGGCTTTTGTACAATGATCCTGTCGTTGTCCTAACCAAGTGCTGTTATCTTAATTCTTTGGGTCAGTGACATATCTATAGGATGGCTTTTGTACAATGATCCTGTCGTTGTCCTAACCAAGTGCTGTTATCTTAATTCTTTGGGTCAGTGACATATCTATAGGATGGCTTTTGTACAATGATCCTGTCGTTGTCCTAACCAAGTGCTGTTATCTTAATTCTTTGGGTCAGTGACATATCTATAGGATGGCTTTTGTACAATGATCCTGTCGTTGTCCTAACCAAGTGCTGTTATCTTAATTCTTTGGGTCAGTGACATATCTATAGGATGGCTTTTGTACAATGATCCTGTCGTTGTCCTAACCAAGTGCTGTTATCTTAATTCTTTGGGTCAGTGACATATCTATAGGATGGCTTTTGTACAATGATCCTGTCGTTGTCCTAACCAAGTGCTGTTATCTTAATTCTTTGGGTCAGTGACATATCTATAGGATGGCTTTTGTACAATGATCCTGTCGTTGTCCTAACCAAGTGCTGTTATCTTAATTCTTTGGGTCAGTGACATATCTATAGGATGGCTTTTGTACAATGATCCTGTCGTTGTCCTAACCAAGTGCTGTTATCTTAATTCTTTGGGTCAGTGACATATCTATAGGATGGCTTTTGTACAATGATCCTGTCGTTGTCCTAACCAAGTGCTGTTATCTTAATTCTTTGGGTCAGTGACATATCTATAGGATGGCTTTTGTACAATGATCCTGTCGTTGTCCTAACCAAGTGCTGTTATCTTAATTCTTTGGGTCAGTGACATATCTATAGGATGGCTTTTGTACAATGATCCTGTCGTTGTCCTAACCAAGTGCTGTTATCTTAATTCTTTGGGTCAGTGACATATCTATAGGATGGCTTTTGTACAATGATCCTGTCGTTGTCCTAACCAAGTGTTGTTATCTTAATTCTTTGGGTCAGTGACATATTTATAAATGGCTACCATGATGCTTATGTTTATGGAAGCATTTCAGCTTCTTTTTTATTTCAGATAATTAACAAAACAAACAGGTAATTGATACAGCCCTATATGTCTCTGCTTTACACGTGTGTTTGTGTCTGTTTATAACAGGAATGGTTGACGAAGGAGAAAGCGGCACCTTATGTGATATGTCGCGGTGTTAACAGAATCTATTGTGTAGAAAATTTGGACAAAATCTTGTGGTATCTTACCAGAAAAGGACTTATTAACTTTGGTCTAGTCTCCGTTCCAAAGGGATTACAGTTACCAAGTATTCAAAAGCTACCTAAGGTAAGAGCAGATGAATTACAGAGGGAGAAAATAACCTCCCTATGTCCCATTTCCTGATTACCCTCTTTCTCTATCATAGTTAATCAAAAGTTTTCTCTGGAAAAAAATTACAAAACTGCTCCAGTATCTTGAAATTGCAATAAAATAATGAATAGTTTTAAATAAAAGAACAGTTTTGTAACAAATAAAGTATTGCTAAATTGATTGAACTGTGTATGTAGAAAGAAAGGTATGCCCAGCTCAGTTATCTCAAACACTAGCTTTCTCTGATATTACTGACTTCAACATGCTTTGGTTGTATATTTGATTGACTAAGAGCTTTGACAAATTGTCTTATATTTACATTTACAACCTCAGACCTCTAAAACAACCCTGACTTCAGTGATAATGTATACTCGGAAAGCAGCTCAAGTTTGCCATAATGGCGGGTGAATTTATCATTAGAACGAACAACATAATAAACTTAATGAAAAAACTCATTAACGGTGAAATTGACACTGGGTGATTACAGATTTTACCAGCATAGGGCGAAAGTGTGGCTGGTCGAAAGTCTCCCTGTATTTAAACAGTATAACACTGGACTACTGTATTTTACATTGTCTTGCTTTTTAAAACGTTACAGAACTCGTCTGTGATAATTATTGGAGCTGGTGCTGCGGGCTTGTCTGCTGCTCGTCAACTCAGGAACTATGGAGTCCAGGTAAGTGTACCGGTAGTTTGACTGATCATGACCCTGTAAAGTGTGTTGTATGACCTTGTGACCTCTGGATAAAGCGTCACACAATCATTATTGAGACACTTCTATTTGTTTATAAATCTATATGTTTGAGTCCTGTGTATTATCAGGTTTTGCTAACTTCATTAACACCTGTTTGTAACTGTGTTTGTGCACTATCATCAGCCTTGTACTGTTTCCCTGCAGTAATACGAAGCAGTATTTTCAAACTATTTGTAATTACTTCATCATCTAGGACTTAAGTATTTCTTTGTTTGACCTCAGTATTTACTCCCATTACACTGATTACCCAAACATAACTGTGTTCCCTGCCACCGTCTCATCAAACTATAACAAATCTGTACATGATTATTTCGGAAGTCCTTTCATTATGAAATGGTTTGACTGTATTTGTAACAATGGTCCCTGATACCTCAAACTCTTTAATTTTTGATTATGTTGCCAGGTTACTGTATTGGAGGCCCGTGACCGCCTAGGGGGCCGTGTATGTGACGACCACACATTAGGAAGCTGTGTGGGCCGAGGGGCACAGGTGGTGGCAGGTTGTGTGTGTAATCCTATTACAGTCATGTGTCATCAGGTAGGTCAAAGGTTATAAGGTAGGTCAAAGGTTATGAGTAGGGTCAAGGGTTATGAGGTCGGTAAAGGGTTATGATGTAGGTCAAAGGTAATGAGATAGGTCAAGGGTTATGAGGTCGGTCAAAGGTTATGAGGTAGGTCAAGGGTTATGATGTAGGTCAAAGGTTATGAGTAGGGTTAATGGTTATGAGGTCGATAAAGGGTTATGATGTAGGTCAAAGGTAGTGAGATAGGTCAAGGGTTATGAGGTCGGTAAAGGGTTATGCATCCTCGAAATTCCAATCACCTTTGTTCTCTGCACCCCTGCATTATGTCATGGGCATGAGGCTAGTTATTATATAGGTTTCAGGTAAAAATAAAACACTGACCAATCGCTTTAAGTTGATAACTCCTTTGAGGATGTAGTGGAACTGGACTGGGTCAATAGTCAGCAACCAAGTAGCTTAATAGGTGGAGGAAACATCTAGAGTCTGAGGGTTCCAGGTTCAGACCCTGGTCTGGCTGTTGCATTTCTCTTCTCCTGCTACAAAGATAATACAGGAGTGACACCTATCTTTTGATGTGAATCAAACTAGACTAAGTGTACTTTACTCTACACAAGGTGGTGCGTACAGGACCTTTGATTTTTTTCTTGATGTATTCCTAGGTGGAGAACAATGAGTGAGTGTAACCCCTAGAATTACCAGGATGAGAGTTATGAGATAGGTCTACCATCTTTTGGTAACAAGCAATGAAGGCACTATCTAATCATGTTTGGGACTCAAAGTGAATATTTTAATGGTGGGTAAATACAAACTTCTGACGAAAGAAGCATACGTTTTGTTTTCTTACTGTACGTTATCGGTCTTTTGACACCTATTATCATCATTTATTGTTGTTTAACTTCTAATCTGAAACCCAATTCTACTGACCCATTTTTGGGGAATATCAAAGTTTTACTTTAAACACAAACAATGTACATAAACATATTTCAAAACTGATGGATCTTATTGACGATTTGGGGGAAACATATTGGGATCAGTGCATAGTTCTGCATAAGCATGCTACCAGGATTAGTCAAAGTATCTGTTCCCGTCCCTCCCAAGTATCTGTTCCTGTCCCTCCCAGGTATATGTTCCTGTCCCTCCAAGGAACCTGTTCCTATCCCTCCCAGGTATCTGTTCCTGTTCCTCCCAGGTTTATTTTCCCGTCCCTCCCAGGTATCTGTTCCCGTCCCTCCCAGGTATATGTTCCCGTCCCTCCCAGGTATATGTTCCTGTCCCCCCCAGGTATATGTTCCCGTCCCTCCCAGGTATCTGTTCCCGTCCCTCCCAGGTATATGTTCCCATCCCTCCCAGGTATATGTTCCTGTCCCTCCCAGGTATATGTTCCCGTCCCTCCCAGGTATCTGTTCCCGTCCCTCCCAGGTATCTGTTCCCGTCCCTCCCAGGTATATGTTCCTGTCCCTCCCAGGTATATGTTCCCGTCCCTCCCAGTTATCTGTTCCCGTCCCTCCCAGGTATCTGTTCCTGTCCCTCCCAGGTATATGTTCCCGTCCCTCCCAGGTATCTGTTCCCGTCCCTCCCAGGTATCTGTTCCCGTCCCTCCCAGGTATATGTTCCTGTCCCTCCCAGGTATATGTTCCTGTCCCTCCCAGGTATCTGTTCCTGTCCCTCCCAGGTATCTGTTCCCGTCCCTCCCAGGTATCTGTTCCCGTCCCTCCCAGGTATCTGTTCCCGTCCCTCCCAGGTATCTGTTCCCGTCCCTCCCAGGTATATGTTCCTGTCCCTCCCAGGTATATGTTCCTGTCCCTCCCAGGTATCTGTTCCTGTCTCTCCCAGGTATCTGTTCCCGTCCCTCCCAGGTATCTGTTCCTGTCCCTCCCAGGTATATGTTCCTGTCCCTCCCAGGTATATGTTCCTGTCCCTCCCAGGTATCTGTTCCTGTCCCTCCCAGGTATCTGTTCCCGTCCCTCCCAGGTATATGTTCCCGTCCCTCCCAGGTATCTGTTCCCGTCCCTCCCAGGTATCTGTTCCCGTCCCTCCCAGGTATCTGTTCCCGTCCCTCCCAGGTATCTGTTCCCGTCCCTCCCAGGTATCTGTTCCCGTCCCTCCCAGGTATCTGTTCCCGTCCCTCCCAGGTATCTGTTCCCGTCCCTCCCAGGTATCTGTTCCCGTCCCTCCCAGGTATCTGTTCCCGTCCCTCCCAGGTATCTGTTCCCGTCCCTCCCAGGTATCTGTTCCCGTCCCTCCCAGGTATCTGTTCCCGTCCCTCCCAGGTATCTGTTCCCGTCCCTCCCAGGTATCTGTTCCCGTCCCTCCCAGGTATCTGTTCCCGTCCCTCCCAGGTATCTGTTCCCGTCCCTCCCAGGTATCTGTTCCCGTCCCTCCCAGGTATCTGTTCCCGTCCCTCCCAGGTATCTGTTCCCGTCCCTCCCAGGTATCTGTTCCCGTCCCTCCCAGGTATCTGTTCCCGTCCCTCCCAGGTATCTGTTCCCGTCCCTCCCAGGTATCTGTTCCCGTCCCTCCCAGGTATCTGTTCCCGTCCCTCCCAGGTATCTGTTCCCGTCCCTCCCAGGTATCTGTTCCCGTCCCTCCCAGGTATCTGTTCCCGTCCCTCCCAGGTATCTGTTCCCGTCCCTCCCAGGTATATGTTCCTGTCCCTCCCAGGTATATGTTCCTGTCCCTCCCAGGTATCTGTTCCCGTCCCTCCCAGGTATCTGTTCCCGTCCCTCCCAGGTATCTGTTCCCGTCCCTCCCAGGTATCTGTTCCCGTCCCTCCCAGGTATCTGTTCCCGTCCCTCCCAGGTATCTGTTCCCGTCCCTCCCAGGTATCTGTTCCCGTCCCTCCCAGGTATCTGTTCCCGTCCCTCCCAGGTATCTGTTCCCGTCCCTCCCAGGTATCTGTTCCCGTCCCTCCCAGGTATCTGTTCCCGTCCCTCCCAGGTATCTGTTCCCGTCCCTCCCAGGTATCTGTTCCCGTCCCTCCCAGGTATCTGTTCCCGTCCCTCCCAGGTATCTGTTCCCGTCCCTCCCAGGTATCTGTTCCCGTCCCTCCCAGGTATCTGTTCCCGTCCCTCCCAGGTATCTGTTCCCGTCCCTCCCAGGTATCTGTTCCCGTCCCTCCCAGGTATCTGTTCCCGTCCCTCCCAGGTATCTGTTCCCGTCCCTCCCAGGTATCTGTTCCCGTCCCTCCCAGGTATCTGTTCCCGTCCCTCCCAGGTATCTGTTCCCGTCCCTCCCAGGTATCTGTTCCCGTCCCTCCCAGGTATCTGTTCCCGTCCCTCCCAGGTATCTGTTCCCGTCCCTCCCAGGTATCTGTTCCCGTCCCTCCCAGGTATCTGTTCCCGTCCCTCCCAGGTATCTGTTCCCGTCCCTCCCAGGTATCTGTTCCCGTCCCTCCCAGGTATCTGTTCCCGTCCCTCCCAGGTATCTGTTCCCGTCCCTCCCAGGTATCTGTTCCCGTCCCTCCCAGGTATCTGTTCCCGTCCCTCCCAGGTATCTGTTCCCGTCCCTCCCAGGTATCTGTTCCCGTCCCTCCCAGGTATCTGTTCCCGTCCCTCCCAGGTATCTGTTCCCGTCCCTCCCAGGTATCTGTTCCCGTCCCTCCCAGGTATCTGTTCCCGTCCCTCCCAGGTATCTGTTCCCGTCCCTCCCAGGTATCTGTTCCCGTCCCTCCCAGGTATCTGTTCCCGTCCCTCCCAGGTATCTGTTCCCGTCCCTCCCAGGTATCTGTTCCCGTCCCTCCCAGGTATCTGTTCCCGTCCCTCCCAGGTATCTGTTCCCGTCCCTCCCAGGTATCTGTTCCCGTCCCTCCCAGGTATCTGTTCCCGTCCCTCCCAGGTATCTGTTCCCGTCCCTCCCAGGTATCTGTTCCCGTCCCTCCCAGGTATCTGTTCCCGTCCCTCCCAGGTATCTGTTCCCGTCCCTCCCAGGTATCTGTTCCCGTCCCTCCCAGGTATCTGTTCCCGTCCCTCCCAGGTATCTGTTCCCGTCCCTCCCAGGTATCTGTTCCCGTCCCTCCCAGGTATCTGTTCCCGTCCCTCCCAGGTATCTGTTCCCGTCCCTCCCAGGTATCTGTTCCCGTCCCTCCCAGGTATCTGTTCCCGTCCCTCCCAGGTATCTGTTCCCGTCCCTCCCAGGTATCTGTTCCCGTCCCTCCCAGGTATCTGTTCCCGTCCCTCCCAGGTATCTGTTCCCGTCCCTCCCAGGTATCTGTTCCCGTCCCTCCCAGGTATCTGTTCCCGTCCCTCCCAGGTATCTGTTCCCGTCCCTCCCAGGTATCTGTTCCCGTCCCTCCCAGGTATCTGTTCCCGTCCCTCCCAGGTATCTGTTCCCGTCCCTCCCAGGTATCTGTTCCCGTCCCTCCCAGGTATCTGTTCCCGTCCCTCCCAGGTATCTGTTCCCGTCCCTCCCAGGTATCTGTTCCCGTCCCTCCCAGGTATCTGTTCCCGTCCCTCCCAGGTATCTGTTCCCGTCCCTCCCAGGTATCTGTTCCCGTCCCTCCCAGGTATCTGTTCCCGTCCCTCCCAGGTATCTGTTCCCGTCCCTCCCAGGTATCTGTTCCCGTCCCTCCCAGGTATCTGTTCCCGTCCCTCCCAGGTATCTGTTCCCGTCCCTCCCAGGTATCTGTTCCCGTCCCTCCCAGGTATCTGTTCCCGTCCCTCCCAGGTATATGTTCCCGTCCCTCCCAGGTATCTGTTCCCGTTCCCCCCAGGTATATGTTCCTGTCCCTCCCAGGCATCTGTTACCGTTCCTCCCAGGTATCTGTTCCCATCCCTCCCAGGTATATGCTCCCATCCCTCTCAGATCAATGGAAACAATTGAGATTTCAAACACATCACTATATTTACATACAAAGGATATGATCAGCTACGAAGCAGAGGAGAAGTGAGACCAAGTCCAAATGTAATACTACTTTAGTGAGAAGACTTTGTCCGGTTGCTTAATTTTCCAGGTGATTGATATAGATTGCATGCAATGCTTAGCCTTGTTTTTGATTGGTACCATAATTATGTAATACCTGATATTTGCAGGCTGGCTTAGGTATGAAGGAGATCGGGGAGGGTTGTGACATCATCAGTGAGACCGGACAGACAATCCCTAATGAGATTGACCGACGAATGGACTTTCACTTCAATGCTCTGCTGGACATCATTGCAGAATGGCGGAGAAACAAGGAAGCTGATCAAGATGTCAATCTGTTAGGTAATCTACGTAAAGTCGGGTATTATGGGTAATCTACGTAAAGTCGGGTATTATGGGTAATCTATGTAAAGTCAGGTTTTATCGATAGTCTATGTAAAGTCGGGTATTATGGGTAATCTACGTAAAGTCGGGTATTATGGGTAATCTATGTAAAGTCGGGTATTATGGATAGTCTACATAAAGTTAGGTATTATGGATAATCTATGTTAAGTTAGGTGTTATGGATAATCTATGTAAAGTTAAGTATTATGGGTAATCTATGTAAAGTTAGGTATTATGGGTAATCTATGTAAAGTTAGGTATTATGGATAATCTATGTAAAGTTAAGTATTATGGGTAATCTATGTAAAGTTAAGTATTATGGGTAATCTATGTAAAGTTAGGTATTATGGGTAATCTATGTAAAGTTAGGTATTATGGATAATCTATGTAAAGTTAAGTATTATGGGTAATCTATGTAAAGTTAAGTATTATGGGTAATCTATGTAAAGTCGGGTATTATGGGTAATCTATGTAAAGTCGGGTATTATGGATAATCTACATAAAGTTAGGTATTATGGATAATCTATGTAAAATCAGGTATTATGGGTAATCAGTGTAAAGTCAGGTATTATGGGTAATCTACGTAAAGTCGAGTATTATGGGTAATCTACCTAAAGTCAAGTATTATGGGTAATCTGCGTAAAGTCAGGTTTTATGGGTAATCTATGTAAAGTCGGGTATTATGGGTAATCTACGTGAAGTCGGGTATTATGGGTAATCTATGTAAAGTCGGGTATTATGGATAGTCTACATAAAGTTAGGTATTATGGATAATCAATGTAAAGTTAGGTGTTATGGATAATCTATGTAAAGTTAAGTATTATGGGTAATCTATGTAAAGTTAGGTATTATGGGTAATCTATGTAAAGTTAGGTATTATGGGTAATCTACATAAAGTTAGGTATTATGGATAATCTATGTAAAGTTAAGTATTATGGGTAATCTATGTAAAGTTAGGTATTATGGGTAATCTATGTAAAGTTAGGTATTATGGGTAATCTACATAAAGTTAGGTATTATGGATAATCTATGTAAAGTTAAGTATTATGGGTAATCTATGTAAAGTCGGGTATTATGGGTAATCTATGTAAAGTCGGGTATTATGGATAATCTACATAAAGTTTTTGTATTATGGATAATCTATGTAAAATCAGGTATTATGGGTAATCTATGTAAAGTCAGGTATTATGGGTAATCTACGTAAAGTCGAGTATTATGGGTAATCTACCTAAAGTCAAGTAATATGGGTAATCTACGTAAAGTCAGGTTTTATGGGTAATCTATGTAAAGTCAGGTATTATGGGTAATCTATGTAAAGTAAAATATTATGGGTAATCTACGTAAAGTCAAGTTTTATGGGTAATCTACCTAAAGTCAGGTATTATGGGTAATCTACCTAAAGTCAGGTATTTTGGTTTATCTACCTAAAGTCAGGTATTATGGGTAATCTACATAAAGTCAGGTATTATGAGTAATCTACTTTAAGTCAGGTATTATGGGTTATCTACATAAAGTCAGATATTATGGGTAATCTATGTAAAGTCAGATATTATAGGTAATCTACGTAAAGTCAGGTATTATGGGTAATCTACCTCAAGTCAGGTAGTATGGGTAAACTATGTGAAGTCAGGTATTTTGGTAATCTACCTTAAGTCAGATTTTATAGGTAATCTGCGTAAAGTCAGGTATTATGGGTAATCTACCTAAAGTCAGGTATTATGGGTAATCTACATAAAGTCAGGTATTGTGGGTGATCTACGTAAAGTCAGGTATAACGAGAATGGGGATTTTTTTGGGGCCAAAATTTTGCCACTTTCTCTTTGATTCAGATAAATTACACATTCTAAAGTGAAATAATCCTCCATAGATAAGGATGTCTTACACTTTAAATGATACTTTGAAATAAAAAAATCAGTTTTCTGTACAAGGCGGAAAATTCCCCAAAAAATAAACGTACATCGTATTTACTAGAAGTACCACTGGCAGCTGTCCGAGGAAAAGTGCTTGTGGAACATGATTTACCATGCACAACAGTAGGTTATGAGAAGTTTGATTGACTGGAAATGTTTCTCCAAGTTAATCCTATCCTACATGTTTTTACAGACAAAGTGAAGGAAATGCACCAGCAGTTTAAAGAGGAATCCCAGCTAACTTTCACAGAGGTAAAGCAGAACATTTCTACTAACGAACTAACATAACTCTAATAACCCAGATAAAGTATAAAGTGGTCTGGAGTAGGTACGACAGTGTCCACACCTCTAATAACCCTGATAGAGCATATAATGGTCTGGAGTGGGTACTACAGTGTCAGCACCTCTAATAACCCTGATAGAGTATATAATGGTCTGGAGTGGGTACTACAGGGTCAGCACCTCTAATGACTCTGATAGAGTATAAAGTGGTCTGGAGTGGGTACTACAGTGTCAGCACCTCTAATAACCCTGATAAAGTATAAAGTGGTCTGGAGTAGGTACTACAGTGTCCGCACCTCTAATAACCCTGATAGAGTATAAAATGGTCTGGAGTGGTTACTACAGTGTCAGCACCTCTAATAACCCTGATAGAGTATCTACAGTGTCAGCACCTCTAATAACCCTGATAAAGTATAAAGTGGGCTGGAGTAGGTACTACAGTGTCCGCACCTCTAATAACCCTGATAGATTATAAAATGGTCTGGAGTGGGTACTTCAGTGTTCGCACCTCTAATAACCCTGATAGATTATAAAATGGTCTGGAGTGGGTACTACAGGGTCAGCACCTCTAATGACTCTGATAGAGTATAAAGTGGCCGGAGTGGATACGACAGTGTCCGCACCTCTGATAACCCTAATGGAGTATAAAATGGTCTGGAGTGGGTACGACAGTGTCCGCACCTCTAATAACCCTGATAGAGTATAAAATGGTCTGGAGTGGGTACTACAGTGTCCGCACCTCTAATAACCCTGATAGAGTATAAAGTGGTCTGGAGTGGGTACTACAGTGTCCGCACCTCTAATAACCCTGATAGAGTATAAAGTGGTCTGGAGTGGGTACTACAGTGTCCGCACCTCTAATAACCCTGATAGAGTATAAAGTGGTCTGGAGTGGGTACTACAGTGTCCGCACCTCTAATAACCCTGATAGAGTATAAAGTGGTCTGGAGTGGGTACTACAGTGTCCGCACCTCTAATAACCCTGATAGAGTATAAAATGGTCTGGAGTGGGTACTACAGTGTCCGCACCTCTAATAACCCTGATAGAGTATAAAGTGGTCTGGAGTGGGTACTACAGTGTCCACACCTCTAATAACCCTGATAGAGTATATAATGGTCTGGAGTGGGTACTACAGTGTCCACACCTCTAATAACCCTGATAGAGTATAAAGTGGTCTGGAGTGGGTACTACAGTGTCCACACCTCTAATAACCCTGATAGAGTATAAAATGGTCTGGAGTGGGTACTACAGTGTCCACACCTCTAATAACCCTGATAGAGTATATAATGGTCTGGAGTGGGTACTACAGTGTCCGCACCTCTAATAACCCTGATAGAGTATAAAATGGTCTGGAGTGGGTACTACAGTGTCCGCACCTCTAATAACCCTGATAGAGTATAAAATGGTCAGGAGTAGGTACTTCAGTGTCCGCACCTCTAATAACCCTGATAGAGTATAAAATGGTCTGGAGTGGGTACTACAGTGTCCGCACCTCTAATAACCCTGATAGAGTATAAAATGGTCTGGAGTGGGTACTACAGTGTCCGCACCTCTAATAACCCTGATAGAGTATAAAATGGTCTGGAGTGGGTACTACAGTGTCCGCACCTCTAATAACCCTGATAGAGTATAAAATGGTCTGGAGTGGGTACTACAGTGTCCGCACCTCTAATAACCCTGATAGAGTATAAAATGGTCTGGAGTGGGTACTACAGTGTCCGCACCTCTAATAACCCTGATAGAGTATAAAATGGTCTGGAGTGGGTACTACAGTGTCCACACCTCTAATAACCCTGATAGAGTATAAAATGGTCTGGAGTGGGTACTACAGTGTCCACATCTCTAATAACCCTGATAGAGTATATAATGGTCTGGAGTGGGTACTACAATGTCCAGTATAAAGTGGTCTGGAGTGGGTACTTAAGTGTCCACACCTCTAATGACCCTGATAGAGTATAAAATGGGCTGGAGTGGGTACTACAGTGTCCGCACCTCTATTAACCCTGATAGAGTATAAAGTGGTCTGGAGTGGGTAATAAAGTGTCCACACCTCTAATGACCCTGATAGTGGATAAAATGGTCTGGAGTGGGTACTACAGTGTCCGCACCTCTAACAACCCTGATAGAGTATAAAATGGTCTGGGGTGGGTACTACAGTGTCCGCACCTCTAATAACCCTGATAGAGTATAAAGTGGTCTGGAGTGGGTACTAAAGTGTCCACACCTCTAATGACCCTGATAGAGTATAAAATGGTCTGGAGTGGGTACTACAGTGTCCGCACCTCTAATAACCCTGATAGAGTATATAATGGTCTGGAGTGGGTACGACAGTGTCAGCACCTCTAATAACCCTGATAGAGTATAAAATAGTCTGGAGTGGGTACTTCAGTGTCCGCATCTCTAATAACCCTGATAGAGTATATAATGGTCTGGAGTGGGTACGACAGAGTCAGCACCTCTAATAACCCTGATAGAGTATCAAATAGTCTGGAGTGGGTACTTCAGTGTCCGCAACTCTAATAACCCTGATAGAGTATATAATGGTCTGGAGTGAGTATATAATGGTCTGGAGTGGGTACTACAGAGTCCGCACCTCTAATGACCCTGATAGAGTATATAATGGGATGGAGTGGGTACTACAGTGTCCACATCTCTAATAACCCAGATAGAGTATAAAGTGGTCTGGAGTGGGTACGACAGTGTCTGCCCCTCTAATAACCCTGATAGATTATAAAATGGTCTGGAGTGGGTACGACAGTGTCAACACCTCTAATAACCCTGATAGAGTATAAAATAGTCATGGTCTGGAGTGGGTACTACAGTGTCCACACCTCTAATAAACCATATAGAGTATATAATGGTCTGGAGTGGGTACTACAGAGTCCGCACCTCTAATGACCCTGATAGAGTATATAATGGGATGGAGTGGGTACTACAGTGTCCACATCTCTAATAACCCAGATAGAGTATAAAGTGGTCTGGAGTGGGTACGACAGTGTCGGCACCTCTAATAACCCTGATAGATTATAAAATGGTCTGGAGTGGGTACTACAGTGTCCGCACCTCTAATAACCCTGATAGAGTATAAATTGGTCTGGAGTGGGTACTACAGTGTCCACACCTCTAATGACCCTGATAGAGTATAAAGTGGTCTGGAGTGGGTACGACAGTGTCTGCACCTCTAATAACCCTGATAGATTATAAAATGGTCTGGAGTGGGTACTACAGTGTCCGCATCTCTAATAACCCTGATAGAGTATAAAGTGGTCTGGAGTGGGTACTAGAGTGTCCACACCTCTAATAACCCTGATAGAGTATAAAGTGGTCTGGAGTGAGTACTACAGTGTCCACAGCTCTAATAACCCTGATAGAGTATATAATGGTCTGGAGTGGGTACTACAGTGTCCGCACCTCTAATGACCCTGATAGAGTATATAATGGTCTGGAGTGGGTACTACAGTGTCCGCACCTCTAATAACCCTGATATAGTATAAAGTGGTCAGGAGTAGGTACGACAGTGTCCACACCTCTAATAACCCTGATAGAGTATAAAGTGGTCAGGAGTAGGTACGACAGTGTCCACACCTCTAATAACCCTGATAGAGTGTATAATGGTCTGGAGTGGTTACTTCAGTGTCCGCACCTCTAATAACCCAGATAGATTATATAATGGTCTGGAGGGGGTACTACAGTGTCCACACCTCTAATAACCCTGATAGAGTGTATAATGGTCTGGAGTGGTTACTTCAGTGTCCGCACCTCTAATAACCCAGATAGATTATATAATGGTCTGGAGTGGGTACTACAGTGTCAGCACCTCTAATAACCCTGATAGAGTATTTAATGGTCTGGAGTGGGTACGACAGTGTCCGCACCTCTAATGACCCTGATAGAGTATATAATGGTCTGGAGTGGGTACTACAGTGTCAGCACCTCTAATAACCCTGATAGAGTATTTAATGGTCTGGAGTGGGTACGACAGTGTCCGCACCTCTAATGACCCTGATAGAGTATAAAGTGGTCTGGAGTGAGTACGACAGTGTCTGCACCTCTAATAACCCTGATAGATTATAAAATGGTCTGGAGTGGGTACTACAGTGTCCTCATCTCTAATAACCCTGATAGAGTATAAAGTGGTCTGGAGTGGGTACGACAGTGTCAGCACCTCTAATAGCCCTGATAGATTATAAAATGGTCTGGAGTGGGTACTACAGTGTCCACACCTCTAATGACCCTGATAGAGTATAAAATGGTCAGGAGTGGGTACGACAGTGTCCACACCTCTAATAACCCTGATAGAGTGTATAATGGTCTGGAGTGGTTACTTCAGTGTCCGCACCTCTAATAACCCAGATAGATTATATAATGGTCTGGAGTGGGTACTACAGTGTCCACACCTCTAATAACCCTGATAGATCATAAAATGGTCAGGAGTGGGTACTACAGTGTCCACGCCTCTAATGACCCTGATAGAGTATAAAATGGTCAGGAGTGGGTACTACAGTGTCCGCACCTCTAATAACCCTGATAGAGTATATAATGGTCTGGAGTGGGTACGACAGTGTCCGCACCTCTAATAACCCTGATATGGTCTTAAGTGTGTACGACAGTGTCCCTGCTGTAACATTCAAGTAAGTTGGATCCATAAAATATAATGTTATTGGACAACATTGCTAAACAGAACACTAACATGCCTTCAGCACAAATGTGGTGGTATTTCTGATCAGCCAGATGTCAGGATAATGGGGTGGGATTTCTCTTTAATTTTTGTGTCCCGATGCGGATTTCTTAATGTGGTTGAATTTATAAGTAACCCAGTATTACTTATGTTACATAAGTCATATAAAGTCCAGGAAATTCTTAAATGAAATTGTTCTTGAAGCACCTTGTTTATTTTTTTTCCCATGGATATTTCATGATTGATATATCCTGATAAAATATTGATATGTTGAGGAACATGGAAAAAAATATGGCAGTGAAAGTAAAATAAAAGTTATTTATGTCGGGAGATGAAATATCAGGTGACACAGTCGCCTGGTGTTGTTGTCCTCTCAGTAGGTGGGTGTTGACTTGAAGGATGTTGTTTCAGTAAGTGTGTGTTGAAGTGAAGGATGTTGTTTCAGTTGGTGGGGGTTGACTTGAAGGATGTTGATTCAGTAGGAGGGTGTTGGCTTGAAGGGTGTTGTTTCAGTAGGGGGGTGTTGACTTGAAGGATGTTATTTCAGTAGGTGGGTGTTGACTTGAAGGATGTTGTTTCAGTAGGTGGGTGTTGACTTGAAGGATGTTTTTTCAGTAGGTGGGTGTAGACTTGAAGGATGTTTGTGTAAACTACTTTCAGGAGGAAGAAAACTTGCTGAACTTCCACATAGGAAACCTTGAGTATGCGTGTGGATCAAGTTTACAGCATGTGTCCGCCCTCAGCTGGGACCAAAACGAGGAGTATCCACAGTTTTCTGGACCCAACCTTCTACTCACCCAGGGATACTCCGCTCTCCTACACAAACTGGCTGATGGCACAGAGATTGTCTATGATACAGTGGTAAGTATAGGTCCTAACCTGTGTGTCTATGATACAGTGGTAAGTATAGGTCCTAACCTGTGTGTCTATGATACAGTGGTAAGTATAGTTCCT